CCCCAAAACCCCAAAACCCCAAAACCCCAAAACCCCTCGATAGCCTTCTGGCTTGAGAACTCTCATGCTATTCTAATTAATTACGTAATAATTTTCAATGTGGATCTTTCAATGTTTAGAAAATACCCTTCCACACCTTTGAAAGAGTGGACCCGAGTCCTTTCTTCTTCTTTGGCTGGAAAGGATTCTCAGAATCCTTGGTTTTCTCAGCAGGCTTAGCTGCTGACTGCCCCATAGATCCCATAGAAGGAGTTGATTTCAGAGAATGCCTGTGACTGGGTCTCAGGTTTTGTTTCGGATATGACTGAAGATGAGACAACATCTCTTCTTGGCGTTCAGGGGAGGAGTATTCTGACCCCTTGTCGTCGATATTAATACTTTCATCAGGGTTATTGATACTTTCATCTGCTATCATTCTCTGTGCTTGCAAAAAGTCATCCATATAGTTTTTCTTCTTATTTTCACGCTGAAGCTGCTTTATGCTCTTTCTTGAAAACTCATTTGGGCTATCTCCCGGTTTTATGACTGGAGTAAATGGGTTTATGGATGGAGGTGGTTTATAAAACTTCATTTCGTTGCCAGAGCCTTTACGGACAGATTTCATTGCATAGTTATTATACTCTTTATTAAGTTGCTGATTGCTTCCATAAGGGTTCATCTCAAACACATTACTCTGTCTCTTTTTACCACCTCCCCTAATAGGTTTGATTACTTTCTTAGCAAAGAAACTAGGAGGAGCTGCTTTAGTATTTTCACCTCTGGATTTTTCCAAATTTTCTTGGAAGTTTGTCCTAAAAATGTTAATATTTATTGACGGAATTGAAATCTAAGAACTTCTCATGATGTTAAAATAATCTCTGCGTTTAAAATTTGAGCACGATATAAACGACAAATAAATGTAAACTGAGCCTACCTTGAACTATAATCTATATAGCCTCCCAGATTGTTCATTGGCTGAAGAGGCATCCCAGTCATCATCTGGTCAATCTGTAATTTTCCTTGCCTAACTGTTTTCTCAAGGGATGCATTTTGAGCTTCTAATTCTGATATTTTAGCTGTATTCTCAATGACCAATTTCTCATGTTGATCTAGCTTCTCTCTTGTCTGCACTAGCTCCTTGTAGAGTTTATCCTTAGCTTTATTAGTCTCTTTAAAATGCTCTTCAAGTTTGTAGTAATCTTTCTTAATAGTCTCGTATTTTTCGTCTTGTTCTTCATCCTTCTCGCTCTCAGAGGTCTGACTGGGCTCTGGATCGGGCTTTGAGTCTATCTCGTTCTTGAGCTGCTCATTCTTTGTAGTCAAAATTTGGTTATTTTGAATAACTTCGTTCAGCATCTTCTTTTGAGCATCGATAAATTGCTTCAGGTCACGAATCTCAGCCTCTTTCTCTTCGAGAGTGCTGGCAGACACAGAATATTTCACTGTATTTTCTTCAAATTTACTTATATTAGGGTCTGATCACATAGAATTTAGGAAAGAATCCTGGTCGTTTGCCTCAACGTTTTCGCTAACAGCACGTGTGATGATATCAATATCTTGCATTATAGTAGTGGAGTTGCCTGTTTCATTTTCGCCTCTCTTCTTATGAGAGTTCTGACGGATGTAGTTTCCCTTATTCTTACTTTGCTCTTCAATTTCGTCCTGGATAAGGTTTATCAGCTCGATCATCTTCTGAATGTTATCTAGGACTAGCTTATCACTGCTTAGATTTTTACTGGAGTTATTTGAGTCTTCTAGGTTCTCTTCCTTGCCTGACTTATCTAGATTATCGCCCAAGAATTCCTCAGTTACTTCAAAATGCTTTTTATGTTGATTTTGAGTGAATTTATCAGACAGTTTTAAAACTTCCAAATCATCCTTTAGTCTTTCTAGAGAATCTTTAAATTTTGAAAAATCATAGACCAATTTACTGGACTTTTGGTTATATTCCAGTGCAGATTTCAAATCCTGTATTGTCTTGAGGTCATCTTGACGATCATTAGCATGATTCATCTCCATGAGAAGGATCTTTTCATTCATCTCATAGATTTCGATGCTTCTGGAAGAAATTTCTTCCTCAAGCTCCTCTTTTTCCTTCTTTACCTGCTCAATTTCTTCCTTTAGTTTAGTAATCTCAATATGCTGCTTTACCACTTTCATGGCATTCTCTTGAATTAAAGCCTTCTGTGTAGGATCCTCGGGATCTATTTTCTGAATATGGATATTTGAATTTTGCTCTGAAGTCTTCTCTTCATCTTGGTTCAAATCTTGAGTTTGATCCTTCTTGACCTCAGAATCATTGGTGACTACTTTAGAGGTGGATAAGGTGTCATCTCTAGTCTCATCTACATTAGTATCGCCATCTTCTTCATCCTCTTTGTTCTCTTCAAGAGTTTCGATATCCAGGTCTGGCTTCAGCATAGCATATATGACGTCAATATCTTTTGCACAGGCTATGCTTTGCAGAGACTTTTTAATTTCTTCAATTTCTTCCTCGCTGAGATCTGAATCAAAGTACGATTTCAGTTCTTTCTGCATGGATCTTATGATCTCGTCCAGTTTCTCTATCTTCTTGTTGGTTTTATTTAGTTCACCTAGAAGTTCTTTAGCAGACCTCTGAGCATTGGCTATAGGCTTGTTTTTAATGGATTTAGCTCTGTTTCCGAACCGAAGAGTTGAGAGAGTTTCTCTATCATTGTATGCGCTTAAGGAGCAAGTGATGATAAGACAGGTTAAGGAATTACCACCAATAGACTCTTGCAGTATTTGGGTGAGCTTAGAGTCACGATAAGGAATATGCTTATTTTTCTTTGTATCAGTTAAAGCATTAATCACGTTCCCTAAAGCAGATAAAGACTTATTAATCATTTTTGCTTCTTCAAGTGTCTGACCAGTAGCATTAGTCTTTTCAGTCTTCTCTGATCCAGCTAAATCAATACAATATAATTTTCCAAGTTTGGTACTATCATTCTTTGTGTCTTTCTGAAACACTGTGCACATAAACAAAGAATGACTTCTCGAGGATCTTGCGTTCATCCTTGTTGCTGCTATAGATCTATTCTGTGAACCTGCTTGCATAACATCAAGCATCTCATCTGCATTATTGACATAAACTTCTGTTGCATCTTTAACAAAGACTCCATTCACCTTATCTTTCCTTACTACGAGGTTACTTTTCTTTGGGTTGAGTAAATCCATGATTTTCTCCATATAAATTTCCAAGAAGGAAACTTTCACAGTAAATTCAATTTGCTCATCTGCTTCTTCAATGAGCTGGAAGAGGCACTGGAACATTCTGGGGATCATTCCTTTCATAACCTCATCATGGTGATCTGGTCCTTCCATAGTGAACGTCTTACCTGAGCCTGTCTGACCATAAGCGAATATGGTCCCGCTGAATCCACCGAGGACACCTTGGACAATAGGGTACCCAATCTCCATGAAAACATCTTTTTGTAAAGAGTCTGGCCCAAAAATACGATCGAATGTGAAGTCATGGTTTCCGTGGAAATTGCTGGTCTTATCGGCTTGGCACTCCACATTGATCTCCTTATCTGTATATTGCACTCATCTTCGGTATGCTCCGTCAAGTTCGAGCTTGTTCTCAGGCCGTATCCTACATACGACCTTGATCGAGTCTCTGGATTGAGTAGGCATTTTTAAATATTCTTTATTTAACAATAAATTATTAATTCATAGGGGTTTTGGGGTTTTGGGGTTTTGGGGTTTTGGGGTTAGGT